GTTTGGAGGCCTAGGAAAGGGGGTTAATATAAAGCGAGCATGAAATGAAAGGCAATGGATCATTTTACCATTGGAATAGACAACGGGAGCAGGGCCAACGGGTCCCGTCGAAGTCTGAGGAATGACAGTTTGAAGTCCATTTGCTATTTGTAAATCACTCGTTCTAAATTCAAGATTAGAATAAGCCTAGTTTTATAGTCGAGAATAGGTGGACTGACTTGAGACTTGTCGGCCGTTCCAGCTCTGCAGGATTAATAGCATAAAGCTGCTGTGGTTGTTGTTGGGATTGCGGTTGTTGGTCAGGTGTCGAAAGGAAGTGAGGATCAATGGTATTGTGATACGGGGAATGAGAATGTCGAGTGGTGAAGTCGCCCGGAAAACTTGCTGGTCCACCATGCTGTAAAAAAGTTATCGATTGGTTAGATATTGCTAGTGAATATCGGGGAAATAGAGAACTATACCTGAAGTCCTAGCTGTAGAGTGCTTGGTACTAAATATGAGGACTGCTGTTGTCGATCAAGGGTGTTCGTCGCAACAGGAGAAGGTTGAGTCATTCGCTGTGTCGGTACGGTCGCAGGGTGTTGATCATATGCGCTCTGTTGCTGGACTTGCGATTGGGTGGTATAGAAGGTCTGCGGGTCGTATGTGTAAGTGTGATATGAGGGGGCTGCCTGCGCGGCATCGAAAGTAGGAGTTTGTTGTGTATGGTACGGCGACACCCGATATGGATTAGGCATAGAGTACTGTTGCTGCGAGTCAAGAGCTATAGTCTGGTGTTGCATTGATGTTTGCTGCCATGACTGCACCTGTTGCGGCTGCTGCTGTGCTTGAGGTTGTTGTTGTTGTTGCTGTTGTTGTTGTTGCTGCTGCTGCTGCTGCTGTTGGTGTTGTTGCGGCGGCGGTTGCTGGTGCTGCTGTTGAGATTGCGGCTGCTGGGGGAGCGAATAGATGTTCTGGTTCGTCTGAGGAGAAGGTGAATGTGGGCTTGGGCGGAACACAGGATGATCCCACCCTATGCCGAACGGCTGGTCGTTTGTCTGGCCAGTCCCGTATAGAGTGTTCATCCCACCCCAAAACTCGCCATGAAAATGGCCTACACCCGGATCCGACGGCGGCGGCGGATTGGGATCCGTGGTTGAGTCCATCGTCGTTTAGATAGCAAAGGCCGCAGCTCGATATATAGAGGACCGAACTAGGGGCGGCGAAAAGTAAATAAAAAGTAAGAAACAGTTTGCCGGCAGGTACAGGTCACGTGCTATGGTTGGCCGGTATAAAGTTGTGGCTGCTTTAATGCTGACAAAGCTAGAGCTTGCCTGATTTGGCTAGCATAAGTGGCGTCGTGCCAGGATCACGTAAGCTTTCTGTCGCCGCTTTTTGCCTGTACTGAAGGGGGAGCGGCTCTTTTCTTAACGCAGCGTTGTGTATAAAAAGGCTGGGGAAGCGGTTGTGTGCGCGCGATGCTCTGGAACCATTAGCCAGGCTGAGCGTAGAGAAACAAGGCTGAGCCGCCGGGCATAAACCCTTTCCTTTCCCCCGGGAGCCTTCTTGTTGCCGTGTGGTGATGCTCGGGAAGTGCCGTCTTTATAGTGACCCTGGGCTGTCTTTTGGCCCTCAAAAACAAAAGAGAATCCCCCCTTTTTTTGGGCAATTTTTAATATACCCAACTCCAAAATGGTCAGAGGCAAAACGAGAGAATGAAAATGACAAAAAGAAGCAGAAAAAGAGTACAAGATCTTAGGTTGCTGGTCGTAAATGCAGCAGTAAAACAGTTGCCTTCTCTCAGTAACCCCGTCTCTCCAAACCAATAACCTGCTCTGTTAACTTTGTTTTTAGCACCAGTTGAGTAGTACGGAGTATCCTTCACAGACAACTATTTTTCAGCAGTAGAATAAACTTGGTCGTAGGTGCCGGCGCGTGGCGGACGGGTGCGAGGAGGGTCGTATGATATTACTGTGAGGCTGGTGGCATAGCGCTCCTCTTTACGGTGGCGCGGTATGCGATGGCACGAGGAACAAGACAAGCAAATGTACAAGAAGAGGCCACCAAGGAAAGCAACGCTGAACGAACCGACGTCTGGATGAGTTAGAGGTGGTTGGCGATGCGAAGGAGGTTGGAGTTGAGGTTGAGAAAAAAGGCGACGTTCAGGGTTTTGACCTTCTCTTTGGCGTTTCGTTGCTTCTGTGATCACCGATCACCTGACGCTCTTCGGGCCGTCGTTTATCCATTATCACGTGTGGGACTCTTACGTCAGCCATGCGCGCCAGTGAGCTTCACCACCTTGTCGAAGAAGAAAGAGTAGAGCCGCGCGATAGCATCACTGGAACCATTCACGATTTTTATATATTACGGGCGCAGCGACGGCGCAAGAGCTGGTTGATACGTACAGCGTACTGGCTCGGCTAGATTTGCATGGACAAAGCCTGTGAGGAAGCTGTCTAGTCAAGCAGGATTTTGTTTTTACTTCGCCAAACAAACTAGATGCTACGATGGCATCTAGCCCTCTCTCCCTCCGGCAGCGGCAGATCGGTACGTTCGTCCTCTATTGTACCATCTAGGATATGATTCTGACATACTCCATCAGCTTCAATTGAGCACATTTTAAATCTGAACCATGAAATTCCTCCTCAAAATGAGCTTCAGGGGGAGTCGGCTGCAGGCAAAAACGGTCTCATACCTCGAGCTGCCCCCCTACTGAATGAAGATGGCGACCCGGTGTGGAAGATACTTGTCTTTGATAATCTTGGACGCGATGTCATTAGCAGTGTTCTTAGAGTCAATGACCTTCGAAGCTGGGGAGTCACAATCCATCTGTTCGTGCTTGTTTGCCCCAATATTCCGTTTGGTGGCCATGATGCTGACCACCGAATAGTAATCTAAACTCACGGCGCTACCCTATTCCAGATGTGCCGGTTATATACTTGGTTGAGCCAACTATTGAGAACATCAAAATGATCACCTCCGACCTATCCAAGGGCCTCTACTCCCCCGCATACGTGAACTTCCTCTCCTCCGTTCCCCGGCCTATTCTCGAAGACTTTGCTGCAGAAATTGCCGCTACAGGAACAGCAGACAAGGTAGCCCAGATTTACGATCAGTATTTAAACTTTACCGTTGCAGAACCGGAGCTATTCAGTTTAGGCATGGGGAAGGATACATACTGGAAAATAAACAGCGCAACAACCAAGGATGAAGAGCTGGATGTCGTTGTGGACAGAATCGTCAGCGGTCTGTTCAGTGTCAGTGTTACAATGGGTAGGTTTATGTCTACCTCGAGATGCGGCAGAGACTGTTACTGACGTTCTACTATTCAGGATCGATACCCATTATCAGATGCCCAAAGGGTGGTGCCGCTGAGCTTATAGCTGCAAAACTTGACCGCAAGCTTCGAGATCATATATTAAATTCAAAGGACAATTTATTTTCTGGTGGCTCTCAACGACAGGGTACTGCATTACCCTCTAGCAGGCCTGTTCTGATAATAGTTGATCGGAATGTTGACCTTGTCCCAATGCTTTCTCACTCGTGGACGTACCAGTCGCTCATTCACGATGTTTTGAAGATGCATCTGAACCGCATAACAGTACAGTCGCCTATCGACGAGTCTGATCTAAGTAAAGGGATGACGACTAAATCATATGACTTGAATGTGAATGACTTCTTCTGGAATCGAAATGCAGGGGTGCCCTTCCCACAGGTTGCAGAAGATATTGATGCAGAGTTGACCCGATATAAAGACGATGCCAACGAGATAACGAAGAAGACGGGGGCATCGTCCATTGAGGACCTCAATATTGATGCGGGTGCATCTGCCCAGCACCTGAAGACTGCCATTACACTTCTCCCTGAACTACGCGAGCGGAAAGCACTTCTTGATATGCATATGAATATCGCCACCGCCTTGCTCAAAGGGATCAAAGACCGGCAACTCGACAACTTCTTTCAGCTTGAAGAAAACATCAACAAGCAAAACAAAACACAGATGCTGGAGATAATATCAGATACCGAGCGTGGGAATAACCCAGTCGATAAATTAAGATTATTTATCATCTGGTTCTTGAGCACAGAGTCAGATCTGTCTCGCGCTGAACTCAACCGTTTCGAAGAAGCGTTGAAGCAGGCAGGCTGCGCCGATATCAGCCCCATAGCGTATGTGAAACGCGTACGAGAAATCACTAGAATGACAATGATGTCAACGTCGACATCAACCGCACCCCAGCAGCCTTCCTCCGACCTTTTCCGTGGTTTTTCCTCTCTCTCCAACCGACTGACGGACCGCATTACAGCTGGAGCCTTAGGCGCGAACTTTGACTCACTTATCTCAGGCGTCAAGAACTTCCTTCCAGCCAACAAAGATCTCACCATTACGAAAATTACCGAATCGATCATGGACCCATCAGCGGCATCCAGCTCAACCATTGCGCTCACAGAGAACTACCTATACTTTGACCCACGGAGCGCCAATGCTCGTGGCGCCATGCCTCCTTCAATTGCATCCACTCGCAACGCCCAATCTGGCGGATCTGCGACAAGCGGAACAAATGCAACGTTCGGCCAAAGACGCCAGGCGTTCAACGAAGGTATCGTTTTCACTGTCGGCGGCGGCAGCATGGACGAGTACGGTAATTTGCAGGACTGGGTACACCGGACCGGCGGCGGACAAGCCGGCGCGGGAATCTCCGGAGGAAGCGGAACGAATGCTGGTGCTGGTGGCACGACTCATTCCTCTGCCCTTGGCTCGGGCAGAAGAGTAGTGTATGGCAGTACCGAACTGTTGAATGCGGATGATTTTTTGACAGAAGCTCTTGGGAAGCTCGGACATGAGAGTTGATGCAGTGATGGAGCAGAAATCAACAAGTTTACACACAGCCTTAACGATAATAGTAAATATAGTTCTATCCACGTCAATTCCCTCTTTTCCTTTTACCGCAAGACAGTAAGTAGAGCAAAGTACAAGACATATATTGAATTATAAAAAAAAAAAAAAAAAAAAAAAGAAGAAGCACCCCCGCCCGGACTCGAACCGGGATAGTCAGATATCAGAGGACGCCATCCTGGAGGGATCACGTGGCTTAGAAGTCTGAAACGTTAACCATTACGCCACGAGGGCTGATTGCGCTTAGAGGTCGGGCCTCGAGAAACAACAAGAGGCATTGGCCGCCTAAGTGACACACCAAAGAAGCCCACGAGACATGTAGATGGATGATGATGTGTCTGGTATGCGGTAGCAGCATCATATGGGAGTTATCCGCCATGAGCAGAGAAAAGTGACCGGCCGTTTGAAAGTGGTCTCTTGCTGTATGTAGTTAACTAGTTACCAGCCATTTTCTCATCCTGTAGAAACCTCGAAATTCAGGGAAAGAGCCAATCAACTGCCAAAGCCTGCACGGCGTAGGTAGTTATCCAGGCTAGATATTGTGACCAGAAGCCGTTATCTTTTGTTTACTCTTCTTCCTCTGACTCATCTCCGGTGGCCATGCTCAGGTGGATCTAGGTTCCTCGGTTTAGGGAGGCGATCAAGGGAGCTGACGGAGCTGACGGAGCTTTCAGGAGAGGAAGGCCGTGAGGACTTGAGGGTTGGAGGTCCTGTAGCCAACGGACTGGTGGTGAACAGTCCTATTCTCTCTTGATCGGATATAGATGCCTTCTGGCAGTGGCCACATATGTATGTATTAAAGCCGTTACCTCTGCAGTCCTCGCAGCTGTGTTCTCTAAACAAGCTGATTAGCCCCTGAGTCAAATTAACTAGCTATAGATAGAGAATGCGGTTGCCACAAGTGAAGCTGGTATTAATGATTAAAGAGGTTGAAACGCCCTTACCTGGGTGGATTGCCTGCACAGGATCTGCAGGTAAGAAACGTTCTGCCATTATTGCAGAAGATGTGCTGTGGGTCCAAATAAATGGTTGTGTGGTAGTCGTCATTATTATTTGGTTGTGACATTGTATCGGAATTCGTAAGTCGCCTGGGAATCGAGATGGCAGACATCAAAATAGTTACAGCAGTCTCTCGAGACTGGGCGTATCTGCGACTTCAGACAGAAAAAGTGGTAAAAGACAAGGTATGCTTTTTATCCCTTAGCGGTATAGAATATCTGATATCCAAGAGATAAACGAGGCTTCTTGCACGAATTTGTCGATGGACTGGAGGTAGTAGGAGAGCAAATGACATCATATATAGGCCCTCCCGGGATATTTAAGTAGAAAACCGCAGGCTAACAAATAAGTACGGCTATTGATTCCTCTGATGGGCCCTCGAGCAGTTGGTCGGGGTAACATACCATACATAGCTTTGTGCAGGTGCGGCAACTGAGAATCACAGGATAAGCTCTCAATTGCCGTACAACGGTAACGCTTCTCTAGGGTGGCCATCGGTTAAAGGCGAGGAGAACCAGCGTATAAGTTAGCTTGGTTCAGGCACGGCGGGTTTCAATTACCGCAACGTAAGCCTTGCCCCTACGTCACTTGGCTCCTATTAGCTCTTGAGCAATTGCGGATTCAGGCAATATAGCATCCAACATATGCTCGGGTGACACCAGGATGGACTCAATTGAGCACAATCTGCACTTGACGTGCACTTCCTGGGTTTCCTCGAGCTGGAGATACTATCACATGAAATGAGGATTCAATTAGAAACATATCGGATATAAATAGTGCTTTGAATGGATAAACATTCGTTCGAAGAGGGGAAAAAAGAAAAAAATAAAGTAAAAAAAAGAAAGGGAGGTTGCGTGCATATTGCGAAGAGCAAATCAAGCTGGGAAAAAGGGTATCCAGTGCTCCGCGAGGCCATATTGATAATGCCGAGCACGAACCGAATAATTAGATTGAGTGTCAAATGACGAGGGCTCCAGCAGGCTTACAAGCCACTAGAGGTTCCTGTTAATTGTCGTGTAACATGATGGCCTTTGATGGGCCATTACCTCCACACCGCTCCGTCCTAGGGTAGCATCGAGAATTTGGCATTTTCATTTCTACAGCATCAGTCTGTCCAAGCTTATTCTTTCGCTGAGGTGTTGGTATAACGTGCAGCACTACCCATGTACACACGGAGGTAAGCGGAAATTACACCACTGTGCAATATGCCAATTCAGTGTTTAACATGGAGACCCAACAACAAGGTCCAAAGTCCATGTCAGGGACGCTGTGTAATCGAGATAATTCAAGAGCTTGGTGATAGGGTATCTAGGCGCCAGAATACCTAGTGCTGGATAGCTTTAGAGTGGTACAGGAGTAAAATTAGCCGAGAAATCCCAGGGACAGGTGTGCATATTGTTTGGTCGGGCCTTGTCATGCATCGCCAGGCACCAAAGTAAATGATTAGATTCTCGATACAGGTGGAGTGTACTCCAAGTTTAGTCTGAGATAGAGAGATCAGCCAGTGATGTTTGATGTTTAGATTCAAAGAGCGTCAAGCACATCAAATACTTGTTGCCCCCTAAACACATTCTCTGGGTAAATTTCGGGTAACAAGAAACAGAGCAGATCTTGGGTATATTCGGCCTCAGGTCAAAAGAAGAAAGGAAAGAGAGTGTCCCTGGGCAAGGGATGAACGTAGTCTATCAATAATCAGAGCTTCTCACGGGCAAAGAAAAGCTGGGGGCAAAGGAGGAGGAAGCGGTTGTTGCACAAGCAACACTGGCCTGCCCAAAGCAGACTGTTGCATGAAGCATTATTATTGATCACCTAGCGGCCAGTTCTGAGTATCGAGAGGCAGCTGTAAAAAGCCTAGTTAGTTCCTTTTGGTGACCGGATCCTTGATAACGGGGGGACGAATCGCCATCGGATCTCATCATCGGCGTCACTGCTGGAATTCGCTTCACATTTTTCTCCTCTCTTTTCAGATAATTAGTTATTTTCTTTGCTTTTCCCCTTTTCCTTCTTTATATCATAACTATGTCCATTTCACGTATAAATAAAAGCGGAAAGGTGTATATGAAAGAAAACAGACGGCATTAAAGAGGGAGATCGAGTAGTTATCGATGCACTGGATGATAAAAATGGCGTTACTCGACTCAACGAGGCACATCCTGATCAATTATTGAGTTCGAGCCGAGCTGCACGAACAGCCTTCCAGTGTTGAAGATCACGGGTAACTAACTGACAGAAAAGGGCATCGTATCCTGGATTGCATCAGGTTCGACTAGAAATAATATGGAAGAGACGGTCAGCATGAGGTCGGGTCGGGCGAGGGTTCAGGACCGAGTGATTGAACCGAACCATTCAGAAATAACAATGCAGCTACCCGGGCCTGTGCCACGGTAACTAACAGGTAGTCAACTAGTTGACTCTGGGATGATCCGAGATCAACTTGGCCAGTTAAATTCCAACCCTTCGTGTCCTGTATAACCTGATCCTTCAAAGGTTGTGCCCCGAAGAACCGTCGAATTGACTACCCACAATGTACCCAGGGTAAAGGTCACATCTCAACGAGTCATTAACTCGTTACTTTTAATAGTCACAATATGCCCAGCATGTAATCAAGACGGCAACAGCAGCGGGAAAAGGCTCCCACAATTGTGTTGGGCATTGAGGCATGGACAGATAGGTATCCAGACCAACCCTGATCCAACACTGTTGGCGTGTAGTTATATAACTACTTCCAAGGCCGTGGGCAAAATTACAAGAGACTTAGTAAGTTAATGCGAAGGACGTGTAAAGCAAGTACAGAATGACTGCATCATCGGATTCTTACAGAGAAGTAGAATATAAGGTCAATAGTAAATGAGCGAACGTGTTGATTTTGGAATACGTGGCGAACTAACAAACTAGGTAACTAGCTAGTTAATTAAGCTCGCAACGTAGTTAACTACATATTGTAACTAAGTAGTGTAAGCGACACATTGAATAACTACCACAAGCAAAGAATGGAGATAAAATTACTATAAAACAGCCCCCATCTTCCTGAACTTCAAACCACCTCCGTAAACACATGGCCATGATAATGTCAGGTGAATTAAATGCCTCCTTTGAGATACATACCCGTTGTTAACAAAAAAAAAAGGTCGAAATACTAAATGATAAGCTCTGTCCCATGTCCATTACGAACTCCGGATCCCAGCTCCATACCAATACCCTGCTAACTGCCGAGAAATATACCTAGGTATGAGAGGAACGAAGGTGGTTTTGGTTGTAAACCCTGGTAAAAAAAAATAAAAAAAGTGCAGGCCATAAATAGAAGCCCAATGGGTCAGGGGTAAAAAAGAAAGAAGATGGTAAAAGGTGGCAGCTCTGGAGGTAGATATAGGGACCTGTTTGTTTTGCTTCTTTTTAATCAAAGAAGCCTGGTGGCAGGGATGCAAGAGCGACGACAGTCCCGACTCCACCGAAAACGGCCCCGGTGATAGCCGTAGCAGCATAGCGAGCAAAAACCGCAACACGAGAAGGCTGCTCGGCACCAGAAGGCTTCGCACGCTTCTGTGGAGGAATATACTCAGTTTCCTCCGCTGTATCGTTGCCTGGGAGGTTCTCTTGAGGTTGGGCATCAGGGAGAATTTCGCCGTCTGGGGTTTCAGCAGCACATAAATCGTCAAACTTACGCTTGGTACCGCGAGGGTGGGGGTTAGTTGGAGGTGATTGAGTGGGCTCAACTTGTTTTGTGGCTGTTTTCTTAGCTAGTTCATCTAGATTCTCCTTCGTTAGAGGACGAGACGAAGAATCAAGGACAGAAACCGACTCCGATGAATATGCAGTTAGACCTGTAGGTAGGAGACGAAGTTTGCCAGACGAGTCGCGTATCTCGGGGTGTGTAGTGAGTGGGTTCTGTGAGAAAAGAGCATGGCGATGGAATGGATTATTCATATCTGGAAATCTGTTGGCTGCAGGGCGGCCCGTTAGATGGGAGTGACTATGAGGCCATGGGCTGACCGGCCTTTCTCCGAGAGGATAAGGGTCATAGATAGGCCAAGGGCGTGTGGCGCTACCGAGACAGGCACGCGTGGAGGAGATATCTGGCTCGCGCTCGGCCGGGTCTGGAGATGACTTGATGGATATGATATCCGCACCAGACTTTGGCTGTAATGGCGTCGTTTGCCACTGGGAGGATGTGTCATGTTCTACATCAAGAATTTGACTGCCCCCATTCTGACTTTGAACTTCGCTATCTTCCTCAT